CCTATGAGTTTTGGGTACCAGTGCCTCCTCCACCTCTAGTTTCTGCTAGGCTGTCCACTCCTAACCTCCTGCCCCAACTGTCCTTCACACCTGACATCCCCACTTTGGACCCCATCTGAGGCTGTGCTCATCACAAAGAAAGCAGGGCCTGTCCTGAGCAGGGCAGGGTTCAGGGGGAGGCTGAGCTGCTGAAAAGGAGCTAACTACTGAGAAATCCGAGGCCTGCCTGTGTTCCTGCTGCTTCTGAGTTTCCAGGGTCTGACTAAACTGTTCCCCACCTCCCCACCACTGTGTCACAACCCTGGAGACTTCCAAGGGCCCAGTGTCAGACACTGTACACAGTGGCTGTGAAATAATGTCTCATGAATGAATAGGAATGCCACTTGCAGGTGAAAAGAGTAGCTCTTTTGTCATCAGTCACTTAGAGGGCTTGTAGTCAGTGCAGTTCAGTTGTCCTGTGTGTGTGTGTGTGTGTGTGTGTGTGTAATTCTGAGTGTTTAGCTATGTCTCTAAGCTTATTTATATCTGTTAGCAAATGATTGTGTACACATATGTCTATTTACAAATATTCAAATGTGCTGGACCTGTCTTTGTGATTTCGCATGTCACTGTGGGTTATGTGTCTGTATGTGGTTGTTTGCACGTGTGTGAGGATTGTACACATATGCATCATGTGCTGTCTGTGACATCGGTATGCAGCATGCATGCCTTTCTGTGTCTGTGAATCTGCATGTCTGGGACATTCTTTGATGTATCTTGTTATGTGTGTTTCTGCCTTCTTCCCCTACTAGGCTCTCCTGGGGGAGCTGGGCTTCTCCTGTAGCATTCCTTCACTTAGAGTTACCTGACTGGCTAAATCCAGCAGTGGTCCACACCCCTCCTCCCCTCCAGCTAGAGGTGCTAATCACTGGGTTATATGCAGATGGCAAATGTGTAGCTGCTAGGCTTAGGGGAGGGGCAGTGGAGGGGGTGTGCAGATGAGCAGACACGGGGTGGGGGTGGGGGTGGGGGTGAGAGGAGAGAGAGAGAGAGAGAGAGAGAGAGAGAGAGAGAGAGAGCGCACAGGAGAGAGGGAGAGCAGGCAGAGGAATGGAAAAGAGGGAGGAAAGAGGAGAGGGAGGAGGAAGAAGGAAGAAGGGAGGAAGGGAGGGAAGGAAGGAGGGAGAGGGAGAGACAGAGACTATGCATTTAGAAGTAGAACAGGCCTGCAGCCTTTGGGTGCTGTGGGTTACAAGGTCTTTTCCTGAAGCACAGGCTTTTACCAAGAGGAAGGGAAAGCTATGATGTTGTTTTCCTGTCCCTAATCACCATGGAGTTTAAGCACCACAGGATTAGAGAATGCTAAGACATCTTAGGTCGGTGGAATTGTGGCGTCTTGAGCCAGAGCAATTCTAGGTTTCCAGAACCACAATCAAGTGCGGAACTCTTCCGGGATGGTGGTGTCTGCTAGGTTTCAGAGACGAATGGCTGAGGCATCTAGTTAACATTTCAAATCAGAGATGCCGGCCGGCCACCAGGTTCTCAAAGCCTCCCTCAGTCCCTACCTGGTACTGGGCCCTCCTGGTTGGTATACCCTGCTCCCTGCCCTAAACTCTCCAGCCCAGGGGCTTGGCTGCCCTTCCATATATAATGCAACCATTTTGGTCACCTGGTCTTTCGCCTTCTCTCCCATGGGCCTCCTAGTCCCTGTCTCCCCGCTCCTTCCTCCTCCCCCTCTCCTCATATGACCCAGCTCAGTCTGGTCATGTCCACTCTCCCAGATGTCCCGCCTCTGGCTCTGTTCTCCCTTTTACCTACAATAAACTGTCTCCTCCACTTTCCCTAGGAGCAGTCCTGTGCCTTTCCTTGTTCTTTCCTTTTCTTTCTTTCATTCAATATCTTCTGCTATATTTTTCTTTTCCTGGATTCAGCCTTTCTTTGAATACAGTCATGGTCAGGGAGTGACTTTGACAGCTCATCAGGCTCAGGCCCTGGCTCACACAGGGCTGTAGTCCAGCTCTTTGGGGTATTCTTGAGGCTGGCTGACTGAATAAGGCTTCTCACCTGAATGGTCTGCAGACTCATGTTACCGTCACAGATTGTGCTTCCGTGCCAACATGAGGGGCCTGTGCTCCCAGTGTGTGTGTGTGTATGTGTGTGTGTGTGTGTGCAGTGACTTAGCCACTGCAGGTACATAGACAGTAAGGGGTAGATATCTGTCCATAATGGAGGCTGAGTAACCCAAACTAAGGGCGGGTGGCCAGTAAGCAGGCAGACACATTCATATTCTCTCTCTCTCTCTCTCTCTCTCTCTCTCTCTCTCTCTCTCTCTCTCTCTCTCTCTCCTGTTGCTTAGACTAACTTCAAACTCATCATATAGCCAAGAATGATCTTGAACTTTTAATTCTCCTGCCTCCACCTCCCAGAAGCTGGGATTACAGATGTGTAATTACAGATGTGTATCATTACATCAGATTTTGTGTTACTGAAGATAGACCTCAGGGCCTTTTGCATGACAGGTGAATATTCTACTAATAGCTACACCCCAAGATCTTCCTTCCTTATTGTGCCTCTGGATTGCAGCTTAAAAGACCAGGTTGTGTCCTTTCCCAGGGATTCTGGGAATCTTCCAGAACTGAGGCCAGTCACTGCTTTGAAATCTCCAGAACTCATCAAAGGTCTTTAGCTTGGGCTCTGGCTGCTAGCCTCCCCTGCTATGTCTAGTCTTTCCTTTGTATGAAACTTTGTTGCCTTTTCTTGCTACAAGCCTTTATTCATTAGTGGAGTAAACGCTCCCAGTTAATTCTAAGTGCCATCAGAGAAAGAGTTTAACATATTTAATTTGGAATTTCCCAGAGTTTTGAACATTTAGTACACAGGAGGCATTGAATAGATGTTTGTTGAATGACTGATTGATTGCGTCCATTAAATTCAGCTCATTTCTCCTTTGCCATCTCAGTCCCATAAGCCCTTGCAGGTGTTTTCCCAGGTCACACTGTCCCTAGGAGCATCTGTGGGTGAGAATCTTTGCAGGCACAAAAAGTATGTAGTTAACACTGTGTCTGATCAGCCTTCCTACCTGTGGCATCCAGTTGGGACTGCCCCATTTGCCTCTTGTCTGGTGAAGTCACCCAGAGTCTGGCACCCAGGAAATGTAGGCAATTGCCAGCAGCTCGGCATGGTAACTTGCAGTCCCCCATTGATCCCAACTGTGAATGCCAGGCCAACCCATTGGCAGCATCTGCTTCAGAGTCTAATTAGCAATTGCATGTTCCCAGGTTCTTGCCACTTAATATTTAATAGCCAGACAGCTGGCCTTTGCTGGAAGCCATTTAAGAACCTGATTACCTTTTATCTGAACTTGGCTTTAAGTGAGCCCTGGACTGCTTTGAGTTTAAGCATAAAGCTGGCATCCTAAGTCTAGGGCCAGCAGAGACGTAGATCTACATTAGGTGCTGGTAGAGGACTATGGGCTCAGTGCTCCTGGATGACCTTACAGGCACGAGCGAGGTGGGGCAGCTCTAGATGTCCCTGCCTCTTCTCTTGTACCACAGGTTCATTTGGTCAGGAGGAGAAAGGAAGAGTGCTAATGGGACCTTCCCTGACTCATATCCTAGCTGGATAAGGGGGAAAGGGGGATTCCGTCTGGGCCATTTCCCATCAGGAAAGGTGGTTCTATCCTGTGTGGCTTGGCCACTCAGAGCTAGTTTGTATGGATCCATCAATGCCATGGAGATGGGTCCAGGTTGCCATGCCAGTTTATTCTAGCATAAGGCTGTGGATTCTTCCACAGAAGGATATGAGACAGTAGTAATGCCCTGCTCCTTGATGGCCGAGCCACGCCCCTCACCCCCTGACCTGGGGATGCTGGGGTCAGCTCTGAAGCCTAAACTCTGCAGAACTGTTGAGTGGAGATGGAGAAGGTCCAAATGACCTGTGCAGCGTTAGGAAGGTTCAGGAAGGAGGAGTATCAGTCTCTGCTATTGTCCCCCAGGGGTCCACAGGGTCAGGAAACAGACTTCAGAGTTGGTTTCTCAGCGGATGTGGAGAGAGGTGCTCTTGGAATTCACCCCTGGGAACACAGATTTCCCTGACCACAGGGGAACTTCACAGGGTTGGGAGGTTGGTCCTGGTGCTTGTTTTGCTCCCATTAATCTCAGAGAGTCCAAGTCCCTGTCCTACTGTTGCTTCTGCACATGCCAGGCTGCCTCACTGCCCAGCCCTTTCCGGCAAAGTCCCTGGTGCCTGTAAACATCACTGTGCTCTGGAATGGGTGATATTTATCCAGCACTTTCTATATGTAAGGTGCATGCTAAGTATACACTTGCCCATACACATTTCATTTAATTCTGACCATCCTAGCCCCTATTTCTCTCTGGTCTGGCATCATTCACAGGTGTGGGCAGTGCCTTTAGAATGCAGCCTTGAACCACACCTTTCCGCCCTGAACTACCTTCATCGACCAGCACCTGAGCTTCCTCTCAGCTCATCTTCCTCTCTTCTGGCTCCTCCATTCTACTCTTCACCAGCAGCCAGGAGGTCTTTCAGCAAGAAATCGTACTATGCCCTTTCCCTGCTTTGACCCCCCTAAGATTAACCCTAGATTCTACAGCCAACACTACTTCAAAGGACTCCTCTCTATGCCCCCCTTAACTCTATAGCATAATCTTCCATGCACAATTTGCTTCAGCCACAGAAGCCTTTCTCCTCCTCAAATGAGCCCATGGAGGCCAACTTAGGGCTTTCCCATGACTACTGTGGGTCCCTTGAGGCTCGGGTCCAATGTCACAATCCATCATTATTCCTTGCACCCAGCTCATTGCCCAGTTCCACATTTTTAGCTCCTGTCACCTTCTGATGTTTTCCCTATTTATTTATTTATGTGCCAACCCCCATGTAAACGTCATTCAGAGTGGAACTCTTGCTGTTAGGTCCTCAGGACCTGGAAAGTGCCTGGCACGTCGCAGGGAGTGGATGGAGTTTGTTCAGGGATTGTGGACGTGGCCTTAGGAATGGGCAACATGGCAGCATTATCCCAGTTGACAGAAAGTTTGGCAGAGTCAAGTGCACTTCGCTACATCCAAAAGAATGAAGTCAGCTTCAGCCCTCTCGTCTCTGTGGCTCAGTGCCCAAACTATGATTCATCTCTTTGCTTCACCCCCACCGAAGCCGAGGTAACACCATGGAAGAGGGAGCAGAAGGATTATAAGAACTGAGGGGTGGCAGAGAGTTCAGCGAAATGCCGTCGTTTGGATATAGCATAGCCATTGCAATCATGAGCACACAAAACCTCTGGTTTCCACCACAAGGCCTGCACACAACCAAAGAAGACAGGCAAGCAAGAGGGACCAGTTAGAAAGAGAAAGGGGGTAGGCAGGAGCAGACGACACAATGAGGGCCAACATGGTATGACACATTACATACGGGCATATAATTGTAAAAATATTTTTAAAATTTCTAATAATTAATTAATTTTTAAAAGCTCTATTGGGGAACATGCTGGCACTGGCACATGTGATCCCTGGGTTGTACATCTTGGGTCCCTGTCCTGGGGCTGGACTTGGAAGTCTAGGATGAGTCCCTATATCAGCGACACCCCTCTGTCCCATGCCAGGTCCTCTTACCATCAGCAGCTCCTATCAAGGGTGTAGGTTTCTGAAAGCATTGGAACACTCTCAGAGACACACAATTAATGAAATAACCAGACACTTTACCCATTATCTGGTAGTTATATCTTTGGTTGCCAGGCTAGCTCTACAGCTAGGATATTGCAACCTAGTCCCAGGCTCTCTTGATGCTCCTGTAGGTTCCAGTGAGGATGGACCTCCCATCCTCTTCCTCACTGTCCTCATACCCTCATCAGTTCTCCGGGATTACTGCTGGGCATCGAAGGAGGGGTCACAGGTGCCTGACTGCACAACTCCGGGTAAGGAGTGACCCCAGATCTTACACAGATGCAGGGAAACACCCAGTGTCCACAGGAGGCTCACTGCAGCCATTTATCACAGTCAGTTGCCACACGATTACTTCCAAGTCTGATAACCACTGTGCCAGGCAGAGGTGGAAGGCACCTGCCTCTAGGCAAACTTCAAGTGGGAATCCAGTTTGAGTGTGGGGCCATATCTATACCCCATTCCTAACTGGCATCCCGACACTCTGTCTTTGTGTCTTACTGAGCATCAACTTCTCCAATAATTCCCTATCAGTGGGCGTATATGAAAACACAACATGGGGAGCTCAGGAAGGCTTATGTGTATTTGGGGGTGAGGGTAACCTTCTGGAATTTTGGGATTCCACAGTGCCAAAATACACCTGAAATAGTGTACCTTTAGTGCCCTGAACATGTACCTGGTAGGTGATGCTATCAATCTCCCCGGCAGTGGGTGTGTCCCCCCTAACTGTGTGATCTTTAGAGGGTATCGAAACTAACAGCCCTTTCCCCACTTATCCTCTCAAAGCCACATAGAGGAGAAAAGATGGACTTGATGACAAGCAATTCAGCTACTTGCTAGGGGCCAAAGCTGGTGCTGAGACCTGTCAGCAGGTCACTTTGTTGTCCCTAGCCTTGCCACCGGGACACCTCCCATGATCAGGTTTACTCCTGCATACCGACCCCAGGCCCAGACCTAGCATGCCTGCTCACTAGCTCCCTCTACCCACTCCTGCTTTTTCCCCAAGATTTCTTCAAACCTATCTGTCTGCTTCCTTCTCTGCGTCCCCTGCCTACTCTGCTTCAGCAGTGCCCACCACCAGCCGCTGCTCAGTGGGGTCCTGCCAGCCTCGGAAACCTGGATCTTTCTTCAGTCTCTGCTCCAGCACAGCCAGGCTGTGCCCTGGGTGGTTTTCCTAGTGACAAGGCTGTGAGCTCCACAGTTCAGTGGTCCCCTTGTTGTCCTTGGGGTGCAGACCAGCCCTTTAGCCTCTTTGTCACCAAGATCTGACCTGAATCTATGCAACTACCACATGGCATTTCTCTGAACATCACTGTATGTCTCTGTATGGCTACTCCGTTTGCAGAGAGTGCCGTTCTTACCACATCTGCACAGCTAATTCTTACCTACCTGCGAAAACCAACTCTCGGGGGCCTCATTTAAAGAAGAACTTCACCAGGCTCCTTCTCTTTCTTCTTGCCTTTTATTTTTGCCCCTTTCCTTTCTGGTAGATTATTTTATGTATGAGTATTTGGCTTGCAAGTATGTATATGTTTCACATATATGCTTGCTGCCCATGAGGGTCAAAAAGAAGGCACTGGAGTTGCTGAAACAAGTTACAAATGGTCGTGAGCTACAATGTGGATACTATGAATCAAATCCTCTGCAAGAGCAACAAGTGCTCTAAACTGATGAGCCATCGGCAAAGCCCCATCAGGTTCCTGTCTATTGCCTAGGGACTCCCTGTACTTCCCTAGCCCATGCATAGCTCCGTCCTTGGAGTATATCCCTTTGAATGTCAAGAATGCTTCTTCTTTTCCCACTTGACTGTGGGCTTCAGGATGGAGAGAGGACAGTAAGAAGACAGGCTCTGGGACCTCTTCCCAGCCTTACCTCTGCTGTCTTCCATGGGAGACTTCATGCAGCTCTCATCTGCTAAACGGAGAAAGAGTTGTCTCCTGCATGGAGTTGTAGAGTGGACGAAATGAGTGTGAAAACATCAGAGGAGACATAACACATAGGATGTGCTGATGAATCTCATTTTTAGGTTGTTATCTCCAGATCCCACGTGGATACCCCACCATCGCCACTCCCTGTTTACTTGACAAATGAAAAGTCAGTTCTACTATGTCACAATTGTCTCTAAGTGAGTCTCAAACTCAGAGACATCTGGGACCAGGTTTTAAAAGGTAGATTGACTAAGATGGTGAATACTGATTGTCAACTGGACAGCATCTAGAGACACCTAGGAGACAAGCCTCTGGGAATGTGTATGAGGACGTTTACATATTGGATTAATTGAGATGAAAAGAACCACCCCAGCTGTGGGCAGCACCAATCCTGTGAGTTAGAGTTCCAGAATGAATGAAGAGGAGAACACAGCTGAGTACCAACTTTCACCTCTGCTTCCTAACTCTGGATACAATGTGACCAATCACCTCATGCTCCAGCCACCACAATTTCCCTGCCATGGAAGGTTATACACTTTACTTGCTATCCAAAATACCTATACCATCCCCCCTACATCTTTAAGTTGCTTTTGTTAGAGCAACAGAACAATAACTAGTACATTCACCAAGTCTAGAGAGATAGACCTAGGACGAGCCTTTTAGAAAGCCTTTTGTATCATATTCTGATACAGATGCTCCACTCCTGAGTTAGGGCACTGCCATGGGTGATAAATGAATCTTTGACATAGCAATCTGAGTTTTGAGAAACCTATCCAGTAAACCCTACAGATGAGGATTGGGGTGTGGCCTAAGAATAGAGAATTCCCAACTAGACAGAGGGCCCTCCATGGTTCCCTTTCCCCTAATCTGTCTTTTTAGGATTGCTTTCACTGAGAGCTTTATTTTGGGCTGATGGATTCTTAGCTCCTGTTCAGGGCCAGCACCCGCATACAAATGCTAAATGGAGCAGTGGCCTGCTCTGTCTCTCTGTCCTTGCCAAGCTCTGGGCTGTGAGTTCTCAGTGGGGCATGGAAATCCTGGGACTCCTGTGAGGCTGGGACCACCATGCCTGTCCAGCAGGAAGCAGCTTGCCTGGGGTCCCTTTGAGAGTGAATGTACCCATGAGAGAGTGGCCTCTGGAAGGACTTCAGGGAACTTGGGAGCATGGGGACAATTGGAGGCTGTTTTAGGGGGAATGGGGCTGGCAGGGACCTGGCACTCGGCTTTGAGCCCCTGCTAGACTTTGCCAAACCTAGGCCTGGTTTCCCATTGCCTGCCAGCTCCAGGGTGCTGGAGAAAGAGGCCCATGGAATCCAGTAGTGCCCTTTTAGAGTTCTACTGCACAGGAGCAAGGCTGCATGACTGTCTTCTCAGAGAGCCTGTTTGTATAGTTGTGAATACACTGTGCCTAGACCTTGCTGTCTGGCTGTCTGGCGATCAGGTATGCTCAGAATCAACCGAGTCACCAGATGGCTGGGGAGAGAGGGCATCCCTTCTGAGCTGCCAAGAGTATGCATAGTATGTGGAAGCACAGAGGTCTGGCATGGGCTTCTATGGGCTTGCTAACTCCTGGTGGCCTTAGTCAAGTGCCTTGGCTGGGAAACTACAGTGAATGAACCAAAGCTCTCTGCTGCGAGAGGCTGGGAGTAGGAGCTGGTGGAAGTGCAAGAGAGAGAAACACAGGCTGAGTGGCACCCAGGGTGGTGGCATAGGACCAGTTTCTGCCAGGATGCCAAAGAGGTCTCTAAGTAGAGCTGTGGACATGAGGAGGAGAAGTTGCCAGGCCCGGGGAGCAGTATGTACAAAACTGCTGAGCAGGGTCAGGCCTGCCAGTTAGAGGAGAACTTGAGGCCAGTGTGGTTAGAAGAGGGATGGAGGTGGAGAGCAGAGAGAAAGGGAGGAGGTTCAGCAGTAAAATCCCCACAAGTACCATCACACCAGAGACATAACCAGATGGGAAACGACTCAGACGTTAGACAAACGGTTGAAAGTTGAAGGCTACACAGCTGAGTAACTGGGAGTGCCTGGCTGGACAGCCATTCACCGTGATGTCAGGGTTACCAATTCTGGGTTGCTAACTGCTCTCATGGAGTAAAGGATCATGGGTAAGACCAGCCCACTGGGCACTGCTTGTTTCTGCTGCTACCTATAAGCATATTTAGCAAGTGGTCACTTGACTTTTCTAGCCCTTGGTTTGCTTATCTGAGCTTATCCGTCAGATGACTGACTGGGAGCTGTGCCTGCCTGAGATACCATGAGTGGTTACAAAACATCACCCCTACAGCTCAGGTCTAACCCTTCTATGTCTTTTGGTGGACATGGGTTCAGAGGCCCCTCTGCCCCAAGGTACTGAGTCTGCAGGCCTCGGGGCTTTACAAAGGGGGTTCTGTGCAGGGCCCAGGGGACCAACTTTAGGACTACAAAACATCATACAAATGGGAAGCTCTGGTGTCCTCCTGTATCGCTCCTGGGGGTCTTGCTCTGCTGTTCCTTTGTGGCATCCATCACGCTTGTAATTACTTGTTTAACATCTGCCTGCTTCTTTTGGCTGCATGTCCTTATCTCAGCTGGCCT